ACGCTGATACACGAAAACCTTTCCTTAGTTTTAATTTCGAAGATAAGAATTCCTGTATTTTAACTTTCTAATATGGAGAAACTAAGATGATTAATACCTTGAAGAGAGAACTCTCTCTCTCTCTCTCTCTCTCTCTCTCTCTTCCATGAATTGGGAGGGTGTGGCATTTTAATTTTAATGTTTTTGTGCTGATTAGATCAACATAGAACTTGTAGATATTTTCATGACATTTGGGCACACCTGAAATATATAAAGCAAAAAAAAACAAACAAATAAATAAATATATAGATCCCTTGAGAATTGTCAATGTCTATTGAAAATTGTCAATGTACATTGAGAATTGTCAATGTCCAAAATTTCAAGTTTTGTATAAAAGTAAATTAGATAATTTTATGTAATTATGGCCGTTCATTTTCTTCCCTTGTAATATGCACCACTGGGAGGACACTTATACATTGATCAAGCATCTACATGCTTTTAAAAAAAAAAAGGTGTGGTTTGTATAACCTTAAACAGGTGCAACGGGAAAGGGGCTGAAGTCAGTTGCACATTGTGGCTTCCATTTTCATTCCCAAAATGACTAACAAATTAAAAAAATGGATAGGGGCATGTCATCCCCACTTAATTACCTTAAAAAAAAATTAAGGTGCAACTCCAAAGTTTGTTATGATATTGAAATTTTGGTGTAAAAAACTTTAAGATGGTGCGAAAATCTATTTTTAAATCTAATTATAAAATATTAAACTTTAAAAATGGTGTAAATCAAGCAGACTTATAAACGTATGAAAATCATGAAAATGGACAATCCAAATAATGTGTTTCAAGATATAATATTTTTATGATTTGAAATCTCTTTTTGCTTCATATCTATATATCTCGATGTTGAGATGATCAACTAGATGTTTTTCCAACATCAAAACAACATTTTTAACAGATTTTGGAGGTGCACCGTAATTCTAGCATCAACCTTATATAAATTTTCTCCTTTAAAAAAAAGTGAAGTTTATATAAGTTGTCAACCTTACGCTATTGTAAAATACACGTCAAAACTATGCCAAAAAATGTAACTCGGTGCAAGCAAGCCTTGCAATAACATTAAAATCTATAGGCACCTCTAATTATGAAATTTAAAGTTCTAAAATGTCCAAAAAGGGTGACAATTAAGTAGATTTATAAATACTTGAAAATGGACGATTCAATAAATGTATTAAAAGATTAACTATTTTTACAATTTGAAATCCCTTTGTTTCGTACGCATGAATCTTGAGGTCGAGATGATTAGTTGAAAGATTTTCCAGTTTCGAAACGACCTTTTTCCAGTGTGTTTTTTAGGTGCACCTTACTTTTACAGCATAAAGTTGGCACTTTATATAAACTTTGTCCTTTTGAAAAAATATTTCCATCCAAATTTACGCTGCCTTTGAAAATCTTTTTTTACCCCAATTGAGAAACTTGAAGCTTTAAAACTGGTCCAAATGCAGCAAATCCATAAATACTTGAAAATCTCATAAAATACATTATATGATGCACTATTTTTATAACTTCAAATCATTTTCTTTTCGTATCCATACATCTCAATATATCTCAATGTATGGAGAAACAAATTGGAGGTTTTTTAAACTTCAAAACAACCTTTTCTTCTACGTTTTTGATTTGCGCCTTTCTTCTTTAGTATAAAGTAATTACTTGTACAAACGTTTTCCAATTCGACCAAAGAAAAAGTAACAACAAACCCAAATGGAGATGACCAAATGAGCAGCGGACTAAAAAAGCTCCCCCAAGTCTTTCACTTTCCTGAATTATTTGCATGCAGCAAATCCAAAAGAGATAATACAATGGACAGCGTTACAATCACATGTAATCAGTTGCAGTAAACAAACTTGCACATTCAAAGAGTATATTTTGAGAGAAGGGGAGGGTTCTCTCACTCTTTAGATTTTTGATCCTTAGATACACATATCCAGCAGCTTCACATATT